TATTCGTAGCACACCACGTAGGGGGATTAAATTGTCACCTTTTGAATTGATGTTCGGTATGCCTCCCAGGGTCTTGCCAGCAGGATGGAGAGAACCAGTTACGATAGAATTAGGCAAGTCCGAGATTTGGGAACATGTTATTGCCTTGCAGTCTGTTTTATCTTCCCTACACAGATTTGCGGCACCCTTCCAAAGCCTCCCGCTGGATACACCCATCCACAACTTTAAACCAGGTGACCAAGTCCTGGTACAGAGGTGGAAAAAGGATCCCCTCGCGGTGCGGTGGGAGGGACCATTCCAGGTGTTGCTAACTACAAACACGGCTGTTCGTCTAGCAAACAACGACAAGTGGACTCATTGCTCGAGGATCAAGGCTTTTCGACAGGAGGACGTCAACTCCCAGGGTGTGATCACTCCGGAAGCTGATAACACCCGGGAACAAAAAGCCGACAAGTGGACAAGCAAACCAGTAGGAGATCTAAAACTACGCTTGCAAAGATGGGGACCTTGATCTATTGGTTCACACTCTTGTCCCTTTTAGATACATCAAACGCAGCGGCTGGGCCTAACTGCTGCAAATGTGAGAAACGCGATACTATCTCTTTCTCTGAAACCGCCTACAGACAGGCTAAATCCTTAATCTCTAAAGCCTACTTATTCCCCACCTCTGACTGTTGCCCTCAGCAAGAAATTATGATAGAATTCGTAGTCAGCATAGGCCACAAGGTTAGGTGTATCGAGATGAACAAGGCACTCTGGGAGGCAATCCTCAAAAATCAACCTTCCAGTCTCCAACCTGTCCCCACCAAAAATGACATCCCAAAGCATAAGAGGACACACACAAACCCATGGGTGGGAAATTCCTGGATGACCCTCCTCAGAGACTCAGCCCGGGCTTTAAGCGATCACCATTGCATTTTGTGTGCGCTTACTCCTACTTCTACTGAGGAAGGAGTCCCCTTTGTACCCATTCCCCTCAACAAAACAGGTATACTAACGGATTGGGGCTTTAACAACCAATTCAATTTCTCCAATAGGTACGAAGGTTCAGAAAGACTTAGGGTGGTGAAAGGTAGAGGCTCCATATGCGTCTCTCAAGAGGGAGGGGGAGACGAAGTAGGGGAATCTGAATGCGAGGATACTTGGACTCCTGTAGGAAAGGACGGCTACTGGAGATGTTGGAGTGACTCATCTGATGTGTATAAAAATTGTGGTTGCGTATGGCAACTCTTCAACTACAATTTCCGATGTTCCATCCGGGGTAAGCATACATTTAATTGGAAAAATTGCTCAGTGCCCCTACGAAAAGGATCCAAAAGGGGCACATTAACTTTGGATTTGATATATTCCCGCTCCAGTATCCCCCATGAGTCCTGCGGCCTATGGTGGATTTGTGGGCAATGGGCATATAGGCAACTTCCCTCCAATTGGACTGGGACTTGTTATTTAGGAACTCTGATTCCCGGGGTTTGGTTAAAACAACCTACAGCCACAGGTATTAAAACAATACCTCCCAGTACCCACCGCGCAAAACGGAGCGCTGATAATTCCTTTGAGGCTATAGCCAAAGGCGGGAACCAAAAATGGGGTGACGAGGAATGGCCAGCAGAAAGGATTATTCAGTACTATGGTCCTGCGACCTGGGAACCAAACGTAGTCGGTAGGGAACCTACGTATTTAACCAACCGCATTGTTAGACTCCAAGCCGTCGTAGAGATAGTTACCAATAAAACAGCCGCAGCCCTACGCTTGATCGGTGACCAGCTCACTCAGCTACGTACCACGGTACTACAAAACCGGTTAGCTCTTGACTATCTACTGGCCAGTGAAGGAGGAGTGTGCAAAAAGTTGAATTTGTCCGACTGTTGTGTTGAAATAGACGATAATGGGGAGTTAATAAAAGCTTTAGCAGATGATATGGAAAAGGTGGCACACGTTCCAGTCCAAAAATGGAACGGGTGGAGGATGGATTGGTTTTCAAACTGGTTACCCCAGCTTGGATGGTTGAGGGGGGGGATAGCATGTTTTCTACTACTAATATCGGGGTGTGCTCTGCTTCCTTGCATATTACCCTGCATGTATTCCATTGTAAAACAAACTGCTAAGAATGTCGCCCATCATGAAATGTTTGTGCGTTATCAGGCGCTAGCTCTCGCTGAGGAGTATCAAAATCTGTAGAGATAGAAAGCATCTTTGAGGGGGGAAATTGTAGGAAAAATACATTAGATTTTAGATCTAAGGCTTGAAGTTAAACATGATGCTTTATTTTTGCAATATGCTTCTGTATTCAACATGGCTTGGGCTTGTTAACAGTTTCTGCATATAGGTTAAGAACAACTTCACATAGAGTTTCACCCCCGCACACACCTGTTCAATGACCTAGAATTACACAAAGATAAAAGAGTTACAAAAGGTCATTGAGCTCACCACAACTTCCCCTAACACGCATGCGCCTTCATCTATCCCATAATAAGTCAGGTCTGACTTAAAAGGCCCTGACATCCTGTGGAAACTTAAACGTAATGGTAAAAGTGTGAAACTGCCTATAGTTGTAAGACACGTCACAGTTCTTTGTTTAGGTAAGCTATAAACGACCCTCAGACAAAGACTGAGGGTCGACACCGCTTTGGGTTACTCAACCCCTCTGTCGACCGATTGCGCAATCAATAAACTTGTAATGGACTCAGCCTGGGTGTGACTCCGCTCCTTGAGGTGTTTGGGAAAGGCCTCCAGGGGAATGAAACTAGCAATTTATGCAACAAGGGGAAAGAGGGAAGAATGAACCTCCTCCCTGCCCACTTTGCTTTAATGGCGCCATGCCCGACAGTGTCTCGACTAGGGCCGGTCCCTGCTCTGGCTAGAGAGCAGAGGTGAGGAGCCAGCCCTGCTGTGGAGCAGAGCGCCCCACCCAGCCCGGAGAGCATGCCGGGATGCTGGGGGAGTCTGATTTGTTTTAAACCAGCAAGGGGTTTGGGACAGACATTGCATAAACCGACTTGAGCCAAATTGGTTGAGTCTGATAAACCTGGTTGAATGTAAAAACTGGTTTTGTCCATTTTGAAACTGGTTTATATGCACTGAATGTCTGCTCTGTTACAGGTTTAAACCAGTTTCTGATCACTTAAACCGGTTTATGTGTAATGTCTGTTCCTAGCCTTAGTTGCCCTGTACGCTACAATTTGCTGGACATACTTTGGAGAGGTTAGTGTAGGATAGGGCTAACTAATATAAAATAGTAAAGGGCTATCTGTCTTCACACCAGTGATGGCATGTTTTCTTGAGTAATTAAATATTTTTAGGTTCTACATCCTTTTGATCTAACATGGTTATTTATAACACACTAGACTCTTAGAAGACCCTCTAAAGCACAGCATGTTTATAGTGCTACATGCTATTTTTCCTTTTAGCATAAGGCAAAATTCGGAAACCCCCAAAGTCCAGCAAAGTGATGGCTGATGCTAAAAGTGGGACATTTATTCATTAAACTATTTTTGAGATGTGTTAACCAAAATAATAAAAGTATTACTGAAGCCTTTCTCAAGTGGAAAGTATCTTCACCTAAGAGACCTGCCCTGTTATTGCAAAATATTCAAATTTTTTTTCACTGTGCCCGTCTAGGAAGCTTTGTTTGGAAAATGGAATTCCATTGGTTGCAAAGATGACTGAAATAAATATCTATTTCCAACTGTTTCAGTAAAAAATGGGATTCTGACCTAGTGCAGTTAAGGATTGACACAACACCTCATTTGATTAATGGCAGAAAAGCCTTAATAACAATACCATACATGAATTATAAACCTAAATGACAGGAAAAGACTCCTGTCCAATATTCAGTAAATGAGTTATTACAAAAGTCCTACTATATATTAGCTGCCAAAGTGTCTCTTACCAATGCAGGCAGGAAGCTGTTTCTGTCTTTACAGCCTTCACTGAGCATGGATCTGTCGTCCAGGAATGATTAGCTGGGTGCAGCATGATCTCTCTGTCTCTCCTGGAGTGCACACCTTGCTGGCAACTCTGTTTTGTTCTTATACTGTTCAATTGCATAGCTTCAAAGCATTCCTTCTTGATAGCTGGTCAGTTAAAGTCCAAACAAAGCAGGTAGGAAGGGATTATCACATTACAATTGCTAACCGCTCAGATCCTGTTTTGGGGAGTCTAGGTGTGAAACCTGTTTTTGCAAGCTTTTGATCAGCCTGTAGGTTATGCTTCAATCAAAGGGGATGGGTGTTCATTGACTGATGGAATACCTTGGGGCACTGATCACAGGACACTGCCTTTGGGTACTTTTTTAACAGTGGGGCAGTCTGCACTGGTGATGGTCTAAGGAGACATTTTTAAAACCCGAGACAGACACTAAAAGCCTGTTTTGAGAAATATGCCTTAGTCAAGAGAAGATGCGTCACCAAGGAGGATACAATCACATAGGGATATGCAGTTATTTATGAATGATTTAGCATAATAAATTGGGTACATTGACAAATAGCACAGGAGATTAAATCAACTGGGATTGCTCTACTTTGCATGGTCCCAGTCACAATCTTGCATTCTTGTGCTAGATGCACTATTTTAATTTGGTCATTTAAATTTCATGTGTGGGTCCAGCCAAGCTGTCACAGTCATCACAACGTTTACGTGAAGAGAGGAATGGAGAAGTGGGGGTGAGAGACATACCCTTCCAAAACAAAAGACAAACAGAATCACATGGGGCATTGACAATAACTTCACTTAAGGCTTGCCTATGTGGAGAAGTTAGCATGTAGCAAGCCAGAGTATGAATTGAGAGTGCATTATCTTGTTTGCACTAACTTCCTGTGTAGACACCTGCATGTGTGGCATACCTGAAGGTGTGATTTTTAGGATCACAGAGCAGATTCCATCATGCCCTTAACTGAATGTCAATCAGCAGCCTCTTACTGTGCCTTCCCTGTGTCATTTGTTTCACTTTCTAAGTGGTGGAAGTTATCTTGGGAGTGAGGAGTTAGTGTGAAGTGTGCTACAGATTCATCTCCTCACTTATTGCAGGCTATCTTCTCTGAAGAGAGGCGCTCCACTTTGCAGAGTCTGCAAATGTTTACACCTGTGTAAAGTGAGTACAGTGCAATTGTGTCACACTTCTCTATCAGAATGGTAATACTGAAACCCACTTTATTCAGGACTACAACTAAATAACCAGCAGCTTGCAAAGTATGACAAAACAGGCCCATCAGATTTCCTGTGGGCAAAGATCCGTGCAGTTTTGATATTAAAGAACAGGAACAATTTAGTCACAGAGCTATTAGATACTTGTTACTTTTACAAGGATTAAGATATGTTTGACTTGGTCTCCCATGATGTTCTCATGGTAAAATTGGGGAATTGCGGCCTCGACAATTTAACGGTCCAGGGACTAGGAAACTGGCTCTGAGGCAGGACCCAGAGAGTATTAATAGAGGGAACTGAATCAACATGATGCATGGTGACCAGTGCTTTTCAACTTATTAATTATTTGGATTTGGGTGTGAAAAGCATACTGGCAAAGTTCACAGATGATACCAAATTATGGGGGAGTGTGGTAACGCTGAAGCACAGGCTGTGGATACAGGCTGACCTGGACAGGCTGACCTGGACAGGCTCGCAAGGTGGGTGGATCAAAACCTGATGACATTTAACACCGAGAAATGTAAAATGCTCCATCTGGGGAGAAACAATCCACAACACACTTACAGGCTCAGTAATGCTACACTTGCTAACACCACAACTGAAAGGGACCTGGGGGTTGTAATAGACCACAGAATAAACATGAGCCACAAATGTGATGCTGTAGCTGGCAAAGCGAATAAGACATTGGTATGCGTCTACAGATGCATTTTAAGCAAGATGAAGGATGTCATCCTCCCACTCTACTTGGCTTTGGTGAGGCTGCAACTGGAGTATTGTGTCTAGTTCTGGGCACCACACTTCAAGAAGGATGTGGAGAAGCTTGAGAGAGTCCAAAGGAGGGCTACGCTTATGATCAGAGGTCTGGAGAGTAGGCCATATGAGGAAAGACTGAGAGACATGGGACTGTTCAGCCTGGAGAAGAGAAGACTTAGAGGGGACTTGGTGGCAACCTACAAGTATCGAAGGGGCACACATCAGGGCCTGGGGGAGAACTGTTCACCAAGGCCCCCCAGGGGAAGACAAGAAATAATGGTCACAAACTCCTAGAAGATCACTTTAGATTGGAAAAACTTCTTTACAGTACGAGTGTCCAGGGTCTAGAATAGACTCTCCCTAGAGGTGGTACAATTGCTTACTCTGGAAATCTTCAAAAAACATCTGGATGCCGACCTTGCTGGGGTCATCTAACCCCAGCAGTCTGTCCTGCCCAAGTGCAGGGGGGCTGGATCTGATGATCTTGTGAGGTCCCTTTCAGCCCCTAACATCTATGAATCTACATTAAGAAAATAATCTGCTCTCTCTCTCTCATTGTTTCACATGTTGAACTACTATCAACTTTGATCTATTATTAAACAAAAGTAAATAGAGTATTAACATTTGCTTACATATGGCAAAGAAAGACACATACATTAATGCTGTTTAAATCACAGTGCAAATTCATATTTCTGCTTTTGCAAATTTAAGTGGCACTTCAAGTCTGACTGCACCATTGCAGTTAAAGGGACTTTGAATCTGAACTCCAAGGCTCTGGGTTTGGGGCTTGCACATAGGATGCCTGCCATGGAGTTGGGAATATCTGAAGCCCCAAGTTGGAGAGTCTGGGAGGTAGGATACTTGCTGCTGGTAGCACCACACAGACTTGAACGATTGAGCTCTGCTCAGTCAATAGAATTCAGAACTGATATGGCTGATTGGGCCGGAGACACGAAATTTCAAAAAAAAAAAAAGAAAAAAAAGAAAAAGAAGCAAGCATCTGACATGCAGTAAAGTCACAACCCAACTCCTGTGCCCTGCAGTAACTAGTTTGTGGGCTTTGTTGTAAAAATGTCTTCTTTGTTGTGTTTGTTTTTTCCTTACTTTAACAATCTCCCCTTTTGTCAGTTTTCTATTCTGCCAGCTACATCTTTGTACCTTATTAAGAGTATCACACCACAAGGAGAGAAGGATATTTCCAGTGTAGACTTTGTGCTCCTGAAATGTGCCAGATTTCCAGCAACACAAGCTTGACTGGAGGCCAGTGTAAGGTGTTGGAAGGAACTCTCACAGGATCCAGGAACCACCTTGGACTTGGCATTCATCGTTCCTAGCACAAGCCTGTTGCTTTGATCTTTTCCGTGAAAAAATATATGTTGTACAGCCCACATTTTAAATGCACACTCCCCCCACCCCCAAGAAGGAACCCAACCTCAAAATACCTCACATAAATGGGAGAGAGGAAGGGAAAATCACATAACCTCACAAACACTAGTCATGTTGTTAAAGTAGGTATGCAAAGTGTCCATTGCAAGGAGTGTAAGAATGTGAATAGAAGAGGAAGTGCCTTTATTTATTCACAGAAAACACACACCAGTAATACTGGCCTATAATGCTTAAATCATAGCACAGGAGGATCATCTGGATGTAGGATTACACTACTCCCATTGAAGTCAACGACACATCATTGGTTTTAATAGAGTAGGATAAGGATAATTCAGTCTTTCTTCCCATTCTTTGGCCTCTCTGCTGATACCAGCAGTAAGGGCATCAATTTTAGTGACAGCCTTTATGATACAGACGTCTGTCCACTGGGAACTGGACTAAGACTACCAACATATTCCATGTATGCTATTGATTGGCCATTTGACAGGCACTGGAGATTTAGCAGGATCTGTGTTAGTGACCTGGAGGTGGAAAAGCTTTGCCTGTTATTCCCAGTCCCCAGAGGCATGCAATCCCAGGATCAGGTTAGGATTTTGTATTTAAACAATAATTACTCTTTTCTGAAGTGAAAAAGGTCAAAACAGAAAGGTTGCTCTATGATGTACTTTCATGGCAGAGAAGTAACTTTTACATTCAATAGGTATTTAAAGTACAGGTTTGTACTTTCAGTGTATTTGTTATTTTGTGTCAGACTATTAAGTGAAGATAGATGACAAATTTCACACAGAGCATAACCCTCACTACAGCTGTGTCCACATTAACACCAACAGTGCCACACAATGGTATCCTTAAATTGTAAAGAAGCAAGTGACACTGCCACATAATGAGGCAACAATGTCATGGAGCCTTTAACAATCAATCTTTAAAACAGCATCCATTGGATTGCAGGTGTAAATCAGCAGCTCAATGTCAAATGGCTTATTTAAGGCTTAGGTCAAACATTCAAATAAAGTGTCATATTAAAAATACAAAGATACAACTAATACATCTCCCATATGGCTAAGTTAAAACTACCAGAAGTCAGACTGTAAAATTAAGGTTCTAAATCAACACAGCTGCAGTACATATTCTCTCTGCGTTATGACATATATTGCATAATACAATAATGTTCTATTAAGGTTCACAGTTAATCAGCAGAGTAGACTATGAGCTCATTCTGTTGTTGGCATGTTGCTGTAGGTCTACTGACTCAGGGGAAATTAACAGATTTCCATGAGGTTAGAATGCAGTGGAATCAGTTTCTGTCCTTAAATTGTGACATGAATCAACATTGTTCTTAAAACTTTAATTTGTGGATTTACTATTTGTTATTTAGCTGCACCAACATAGTGCTGAGCATCCAATATACACATTTAGAAAAGGTAAAGGAGGAAAAAAAACACCTATTTCTTATGAGTTGTTTGAAAATAAGTACATTGTGTGAACTTTTTTTTTAATTTCCACTTTTTCAAAAGAAAGTAAAAGCTGAAAATATTGCAGTTTTCTCTTTGGAGCCCAAATCATTGCATTTTAATTTTTTTTTTTCAAAAGAACTAAAAATATTTGGAAAAAATCAGAAAATTTAAAAAAGATAATTTTTTGCTAACAGTTTTTGAACAATTTTTTTTGACCTGGCATCATATTAGTATGAAAGTGGCTCTACTTAGACTTTGAAATAAATGTTCCATTGAGAGGTATATGATTACAATTGGTTCTTATCATAATTTGGCTGCAATATGTTTTCTATCAGTTTATATAACAACTATTTCAATACAATGGGGTAGAAAGAGAGTGGTGGTTTGGTTTGATTAATTCTGAGACTATAGAAGACTGTCATGAAATGTTTCATTTGTGGGAACTGCAGCTTTTCTTCTGAAATTAGTGCAGTTTTGGGATTTTGGCTGTGTTTCACTATGACATTTAGGACAAAGTGACTTCTGCTTGTTTACAGGGACAAACAGCAACCACAATATGCCCGTGCACATGAATAATGTAATACACCTGCACAAAAAACTTATGTGAACTAATTGAGCTTAAATTAATTATTCCAATTTGTCCAGATCATTTTGAATTCCAGTCGTGATCTCCAAAGGCTCTGTAATCCCACCCATCTTGATATCATTTTGACTTTAGTAAGTGACCTCTGAGTTTTATAATCCAAGTCATCAAAGGGGCAGAGTTTCATCATATTCTTCTAAAGAATCACAGCAGCTCACAAGGGATTTGTTGATTGTTTATTTTTAAACTCATCAAAATCAAATGCATACTAGTCCTCAGTGAGGCTACATTGTTCTTAAACTTAATCTTTCAGATTTTTTTCCTGTAGTTCTGTTAAAAAATAAGGTCATTATTATTGCCTATATATTTATTATAGGACAACTGCATTTTTTACCATCTCAATTAAAAATCATAATGGATTTTTCCTTATACTTAAGGAATAAAAGCTGCACAGTGAAAAAGTCAGCCTTGTCCAGATTTTTTCTTTGATTAGCATGAAAAAACTAAGTAGTTATAATGAAAAACCTCTTTTAGTTTCAACTAAGACACAAACAATTTGATTAAAAAAAAGTCTAAGATACTGAATGCTGCTTCAAGCTTAGTCGAATTTAGTCCTAAAAATGTACCACACTCTCTCTGGAAAGCACCCAAATATTTACATATGTACATCCTTCTCAGGATGTTGCTTATCAATGCTTCACTGCATGCAGTGCTGCCCTAGAACAGCAATGAATGAATCAGAACTTCCTAAATGGGTTTCCGGAATGTGGTTAGTTATTACCTCAGCCAGGATTCATTCACAAGTCAAACAATTGCTACAAGTTTTAATAACTTGCAATAAAGGCAAACTATAAATCATTGCAAGAGGCTTGGATGCCTTGTGACAGGCACCAGCCAAACAGATTAAATAAATATTTCATGAAAATCCAGGGTGGCTCAGAAAATGTCAGCTTTCATACAAGGCAAGGTTCTTGGGTAGATGTGATAGCTTTGATTAGACCAACTAAATAGTTGGGGAAAAGTTCTTTGCAAGCTTTCAGGCCCTTCATCTCCATATGCCTGACTAAGGGTGTTTGTACCCAAAAGCTGGCAAAGAACTTTTTCCAATTATTTAGTTGGATGAATCAAAGCTATCATATCTACCCAAAGAACCTTGCTTGCCTATGTCCTTAGACCAATACAGCTACAACCAACAACCCTGCAGCCTCTATACAAAACCTGTTCATTTAAATCAGAGCTGCATGAAGATCAAAGCCAACACTACTATATAACCCCATTAAAATAAAGATAAATGCACAGGCTCCAAAGTTGAGAATTGGGGCAGGTGTAGATATAACAGTTATACTGGTATTAAATTATATCAGTGTAAACAGTTTAGATATAATTGTTGCATCTGTCTACTCCTATGCTGGTATAGAGCTAAAACTGCCTATTTTGTCAAGGTTCATTCTTCCCTGACCTTTTAAAATGGTTTAAAGTTAAACCTGTACAAAGCCTGAGTTACCTGTCCAGTAGGCAGCAGTATCTGTGTGAGCCCAAAGTAAAGTTATTATATTATACTTTCCTAATTTTAACACAGTAAGTCACCACAAGCCCCTTCCCTCACTTAATATAGTAGTGAGGGATTTATCGCTGTTTTGTCAGGGGATGAGAGGGTGGTCCAAGGACCCCGTATTAGGGGCTGGAGCATCCTGGCCAGTTAAGTGGATATACTGGGAGTAATGGGGGTGACCTCCAATAGTGTTGCTGTGTGTCCTTTAGTTAACATCCTTCTTTCCAGATTTCAGAAGGATGGAAAATATTGCTGACTTAGCACCCACATAGAGACTCAGAGCCCTAACAACCCTGATTAAAGCACATACAGAGCATTGATAGCAGTCTGCACTAACCTAACTTTGATTTTTGCCCTGCCAGAGCGGATCCCCAGCTGCCAGGGCTACAGGGCCAGGGACCTGGGTCTGCAGCAGCAACTGAGCCCCAGCTGCTGCAGTGGAGTTGAGTGTGGAGCCCAGCTGCTGCTGTGAGCACTCCTGGAGGGGCAGGGGGGGACCTGTGCCCCCCAGATACGTGTGTGGTGTGGGGACAGGCATGGACTGCCCACTGCAGGCTTAGGCTCCCTGCCCTGCAGCCCTCCCCTGGGGCCTCTACAGCCCAGCGGATGCGACCTGGTGTGGCAGGGCAAAGCAGAGCCACATGAGGAAGCTGCTTGGTGCTGTGAGCTCTGCACAGCCCTGGCGAAGTGTCCCCTGCCTGTGCAGCAGCAGTGGAGGCAGTGGCATGGGGTTGTGCCCCTCGCTGCCGCTGTACAGGCAGGGCATGCCTTGCCAGGGCAGTGCAGAGCTCACAGCAGCAAGGAGCTTCCCCACGTGGCTCTGCTCTGCAATGCTGGGTCACACCAGCTGGGTTGTGGAGGCCCTGGGAGAGGGCAGCATGACGGGAAGCCTATGTTTGCCCCTGCCCTGCATTCAGATCTGGGGGGCAAGAATCTCCCTTGCCCCCCCTGGTAGTGCGTGCAGTAGTGGGGAGTCAGCCCCACTCCCCTGCCCCCCAGATGAGCCACCTTTGGCCCTGTCTCATTCCTCACTGGGGCCCTGTGGCCGCAAATTTCAGCCCCGGGCCCCAAGCACCTCCCAGCTGGGCAGCAGCCTCAGCACCCCTTGCCTAACGGCCCTCCTCCAGCTCCCCCCAGCCCCTTGCAAACTGAAACTCTGCCAGCCTGCAGAGAGCTCTTTGTAAAAGTGCAAAATCCATGGGGCTTTCTCCATTAAAATGAGAAATCCACATTTTCCTTAAGTAAAGGTGGAAATCCGCATTCTTCTCTGCTTTTTCCACAGGAAATGGAAAATCTGGATCCCTGATGATTAGTAGTATGAAGGAGGAGAGACTAAAGAGGTTAGGCCTATTCAGTTGAGAAGAGAGACGCTTGAGGTGGGACATGATAAGGGTTTATAAAATACTAAATAGTGAATAGAAAGTAAATTATAAATCCCTATTTACTATCTCATTGTACAAGAACGAGGGTCACAAAATTAAACTAGTAGGTAGTAAATTTAAAACTAACAAAAGGAGGGGGTTTTTTTACACATTAAAATGTGGAGCTCATTGTCAAAGATGTGACAGTTTAGCCAGATTCAAAAGGAATTAGACAAATTCTTGGAGGAAAGAAGCATCAGTAGCTAGTCAGCATGGGAGTTAGGGGTACAGCCTCTGAATCAGAACTTCCTGAACCTTAAATGTTAGAGGCTGCAAGTGAGAGAGGCACAGTGGAAAAATCCTGGTCATACCCTTTCATACACTTTTCCATACACTTTCCCTTTTAGCATCTACGCTCTGCCACTGTGTGACAGAACACTGGGCAAAATGGACCTATGGTTTGACCAAGTACATTGGCAGTTCTTATGTCGTGTAAGCACTTGTCTAAAACCTATCTAAATCTTACTGTGTGGACCCACTAAACATTAATTCTTAAAAGAAAGATCCTTAACATACCCCTGATTTATAGGTTAATTATTCAGAAAATGTCTTTGATTCCACAGAAGTGGAAATTTAGTTGAGTTCTACTGTTAACAGCATCATGTTCAAAATTTTCTGGTTTTTAATAAGAGTTTTTAATACAACTTCAAACAGTATACGCTGAACATCAGAAACTCAGTGTAGTGCAGTTTGTTAAAGTGTTTAGACAAAGCATAGTAGTTAGTTTGCTATTTATTTTGGAACTACTTTGACATTCTTTTTGACTATTATTCATGATACAATGGTTTGTTAAGCATACTATAAGCTCACTGAACAAACAATTTATCCAGGCATAATCATGCTTCCCAGTGAAGCTAATGAAAGCTAATTTTCTCTGAATGATTCACAGTTACATTATCAAGTTTTAATTTAATAGTTCAGAAAAACACAACCAAATTAAACAAGTTTCAAACATTTTCATTAGCTTATATTTGTAGGAAATAAAACATAATTTATTTGGATACTGCTGTAACACAAAGCCACTTGCAAGCTTTAAGACACATTATAAAGGATTTAGTCTGTGAAGTATTAATAAAAGTCAGAAGCAGAAAAAGCAGCTCAGATTTTGAGTGCATCCTACAACAAATTCATGTTTGTAAATTGTAACCATGCATGCATGCATGCACAAATCTTAGTGTACAAACTGGGCATGCACATCAGAGGGTGTCATGAGGCTTAATACAACCTCTCAGTTCTGCTCCAAGGCCCCCATGTAAATGAAGGCAGGATGGGATCTGATGTGGGATCCTCACAATCGTGCTTCCTGACATGCCACACACAGGCATGGCAGGAGGTGTGATTGTGGGATTCAGCATCAGATCTCATTACACCTTTTTGCCTGCGCATGATCTTAACTCCCCCTGTACCAGCAAGTAGCAAAGTATTTATAAGTAGTGAATCTTCTTTATTAATTACTCATATACAAGTGGTAAATAAAAACTGCATGAGAGAGGAAAACCCTGTCTTCCTCTCCACCCATCAACTGCTTGGGAACAATAATGTAAGTTAACTATCTACCTGCTGCCTAACCTCAGACTAACATGGCTAACTATCTCTACCTGCTTTTTAGTACATGAAGGAACTACATCCTCTACAAAACCTAAATGGTTGTTTACAATGAGATACCCACAGACATAGATACTACTGCAGAGTACTGAGAAGACCACACAGAAAAATCAGGGTCAAAAATATGAAACTTTACTGAGAAAAACCAAATTAATTCCACACAAACATCTAATGAGAAGGTTATGAGCTGGGTGGCTTTGTGCTGCTGAGGCACAATGAAACACTCACATCATGAAACCCTTCTTCACGGCCAATACTTTTGTCAGCAATTCAGCATAAAATTAGGAAGTAAAGTAAATTAAGGGACAAGGAAAATGAATTAGCTTCTAACAGCAGGCTGAGGCATTTTGTCTAGCTGTCTCCAGGCTGTGCATATTCTATGGGTAAATAGAGGGCCTATAGTCTACAGTCATGCTCCATCTTTGATCAGGTACTAAATGGACTTAAAGCCAACATTCCATATATTTCCATAATGGGGGTGGGGGTGGGACGGTCCTAACATGGAGTGAGTGGGCACCAGTCTTACGGAGCAACAAGATCAGTTCAGCTTTTAAAGTACAAAACTTCATCTATGCCACTGGGAGTGTGATATTTGGGGTGACTTCAAAACAGGGAATCAACACGTCAAGGAGTTTTTAAGGCTTTTCCTACATTGACCCTTGTGCTGTGGTAATCATGCCTGGAAAGAATTTAACACAAAATCGACTTAAAAAAAATGAATAAAGTATGAACACTATGTATGCAGCTAATACTAGTAACTAGTACATTGAAATTGTTTTAAAACCCCCACCTTTAAAAACACTTCTTGCTCACTTCCACGATACAGAAACAAATACAACTTCAAGTGTTTTTTTAAAACATTTTCTTGTTTTTTGCTACCTCCATATCATACTGCTGTTCTATTTAACCTGTGCTATGCAGATGGCAAAGCTCAATACCCTGAAGGGTTTCATGAGGGGAAAAAACACAGAAAAGTGTAAGATTTTTTCTTGTGAAAGTTTTGTTTCATTTTTCCCTCCTCACTTCCCTTTCTCATGTAACAGCCAACCAGCTAACTACCTGCCCTGAACATGCAAAGTCATTCCTAGGTATATAACTACTATATGAAAAAGACAAAAATACCCAGCAATCCATGTTAAAAATAGATACCATGAAACAAAACTTCTGTGAATCCTTCTTTCAATCTTTTAAAAAGAACTATTCTGTAGTCATTGTATTATCCATCTTTATCTCAGCATCAAATAATAATAACAAAATTAAATTCCTGAACAGAGCAGGTTGCGATTTTTTTTATTAGGGAATATTTGTTGGTTAAAAAATTTCAAGCAGCTTTTTAACATGCAAAAGTAAAAATTTTCTATGAAAAATAATTCTGTATTTTCCAGCAACTCTGAACAAGAGCAAGATAAAAGATGATACTACACTTTTGTATGAGTAATACCATTCAGCGTCTTTACACATGCTCCAGTGTGTGTGTGTGGGAGGGGGCTTTTAATTAGAGTGGCTTTGAGAGCCACTCTAATTAAAGCATTTGCATTGTCATGTGTGTTCAGCGTTCTGTGCTTCAAAATGGCAGTGGGGAACTTTAACTAAGGCTTGTCAAATGAGCTTTAGTTAAAGGCCTCCACCGCTGCCATTTTGAAGCATAGGGACGCTGAATACACATGACGTGGAGGCTGTTGGAGCGTGATAATTAGCACGCTCCAGCAGACTCAATCAAGTCTGCTCCATGTGCTAATTAGCATGCCTCAGAGCAGATGTCTAGCACATGTATAGGTGCCCATTGATTACTGAGCTAAAAATACACGGTGAGCTACTAAATCACAAGACAGATCTGAGCTGAATGTAAATTACTCGACCTTTTGGCAGCAAGTGATACACATAAACAGACAGGGTCCAACTTCTGTCATTATCAGAGCCAGTACAACTCCCATGTCTACAAAAAGTTACCTCTATATTTGCCATTAAAGAACACACTTATAAAATATTGAAGCTAATAAATTTTCATAGAAGCCTCAAAGAGAGCAGCTAAGTCTTCTTCAGTCTGGGGTCGTGGTGATAATTTAGTCACTCTTT